AAATTGCATGGCTACAAAGCATGTTTGTAGAATTAGGTTTATCCATTCCAGTCACACCTGTCATTTGGTGTGATAATATCAGTGCTGCAGCCTTGGCAGCCAATCCAGTATTTCATGCTAGAACTAAGCATATAGAAATAGATGCTCATTATGTTAGAGAACAAGTACTTGCAAAAAAGCTAACTATCCAATATGTGCCTTCCAAACTGCAGATTGCTGACTTACTGACGAAAGCATTGTCTGTTACTCAGTTCATTGAATTAAGAAGTAAACTGAATGTTATCAGTCAAGAGGTAGTGGAATCAAGAATCTGAAATTCTAAATTCTGTTTGATGATGATGTGTGCTTTGTTCTGTTTGATACTGATGACTGGTTGTTTTTTGCTCGTTATAGGCAGTGGAATCAAGTAGCTGAAACTTTGTCTGATGGTTGTGTACTCTTGTTCTATTTTGATACTGATGTTGGTTATTCTGATGGTTGTTTGTTCTAAGTGTTTTGCAGTGAACTACAATCTGGAGCAGTTTGGAGATTTTTCTGTGGATTTTTCTGGAGTTTCTATGTGGTTTGCAGTTGAAATTCAGTATTGTTGCTGGGAGAATAATGTGGTTTGTAGTTGATGTGTATTTGCTGTGAAAATGAAATTTGGAGCAGCCTGGAATTTATATGTGGTTTGCAGTTGATTTCAATGTTGTTGCTGTGGGAATAATGTGTATTTGCTGTGAAAATGAAATTTGGAGCAATATGGAATTCATGTGTGGTTTGTAGTTGAATTCAGTGGGCTGTTGTAAGTGTTGCAGCTGCTGAAAGTTCTGTGTGGTTTGCAGTTGATTTCAATGTTGTTGCTGTGGGAATAATGTGTATTTGCTGTGAAAATGAAATTTGGAGCAATATGGAATTCATGTGTGGTTTGTAGTTGAATTCAGTGGGCTGTTGTAAGTGTTGCAGCTGCTGAAGGTTCTGTGTGGTTTGCAGTTGATTTCAATGTTGTTGCTGTGGGAATAATATTAATGTTCTGATGAAATTTCTGGGAATATAATCTGGCTGTTGTGAGCATTGCAGCTGCTGAAAATTCTGCTAAATGCAGAAATGTCTGGGATTGTAATTTGGCCATTGTAAGTGTTGCAGTAATCTACTGTGGGAATGAAAGTGTTGCAGCTGCTGAAGCTGCTGAAAATTCTGCTAAATGCAGAAATGTCTGGGATTGTAATCTGGCCATTGTAAGTGTTGCAGTAATCTACTGTGGGAATGAAAGTGTTGCAGCTGTTGAAGATTCTACTAAATGTAGAAATTTCTGGGAATGTAATCTGGCTGTTACAGTTCTTTGAAGACTGTTCTTGAGGAAAATATTGATGAGGTGAATGCAGAACTGCAGCAAATCCAAATTTATTGTTTGTTTTATTCCAGATCGATTTAAGGAGGAGAGTTAGCATGAAAAGTCAGAGAAATGTAAGCTGATAAGAATTAGCAGAAGATGGAAAGCAGGAAGCAGGAGACCCAGAACATTACTCCAGATCAGTTTAAGGGGGAATGTTAGAATGTAGTACAAACTGGGTGTTGTTTGATAAATTGTCAAACGTATGAGGGCCTGTGAAATTGTATAGAAACGGTGTAGTTTTAACTACACCTGCTTCAGTTTAAACTTAATTGTAAACTCAACTCACTCTTTCTCTTTCACATATAAAAGAGTAAAGTGAGCTAAGAAACTAACGCTTTTCACTATTATTGAATCAAATTCTCTCTTCAATTTACCTAAGTTTTTCTTCAATTCTTATCAAATCTCACAGCATAAACTTGTTTTCCAATTTAAGCAAGAATTTAAGTTAAAAAAGATCCCTATAACAATTAGCCCGTTTCTATACATATATAACAAAGATAAACATCAATATATGAAAAATTATTGAACCTTATCATGAAAAGTCCAAATTCTGTTACTCTTAATGGAAAAAGCACTACCTTAATTCAACCTTTTTTTGATTGGTTTATAACTTCAAACAAGCTGCACCTTCACAACCCCATTGTTGATAATTAATGTTACCGAACAAATTGAAGTCCCTTTCGGCTTTGCATCCTCAAATGAGTCTTGTTTTATAAACTGCTTAACTTCATTAAAAAAAGTCAAGTGGTAAATTTAAAAGCAACAAAATACAGTATAACAATGAAGTTACCCACAATTAACCATGAGATAATAAAATTTCTGAAGAAATTCCAAAATCTAATACTCTGAAAGTTCAACACATTTAAGTTCTTCGAGATACCTTGATAAAAGTATTATGCACATCCATAACTGGCAACTGCGATGAATGGCAGTTTAGGCCAATGCAAGGTCAAACTCTAAAGTTTATAAATCTGAAAGTTCAACACATTTAAGCTTTGAGAAGAGATCAAATGACAGAATTGGTGAAATTGGAACATAAATTTGTTTACTAGCTGATTATAATTGTAAACAAGATAATGAGAAAGGAAACTAAAGAATCTTCGTGATGAAGATCAAGTTTTTGCTTCTGAAATCTTTTTCAAGACTTTCAATGTTAGGAAATGGATATTACTATTCTGGGTCAGGATACTGTCCGTTTAAAAATATTTATTAGCTCCAGTTTAAGCAAACAAGCAGAAATACTAGACTGAGAAAATAAATAAATAAAGCTAATACTACCCACTACCTTTAACTCCTGCACATACCAAATTAACCAATTTATATAAGAATAAATTAAAAAAAACATATTTAAATGGGTAAAAATTCTATCAATGAACAAGCAATTGAAGCACTCAGTAATATATCATTTTTGATAAAGTAAAATAAATAAATTGTAAAACCCCATTTCCTAATTTAGTTAATTAATTCTCTTTCTATTTGATTTTTGGTATTTGTTGTAAGAAAAGGGTTTTTCTGTCAGTTTTTAAAGTTTGCGTTAAGGGTTGAAAACAAAAGAAATAAATTTTGATGGGTTTGCATGTATGAAGGGGGAAAAATCAGGACACTTTTGCTAGGAAAAGCTTATGTGGCAGGGTTAGTGAAATTAAGAGAACTTTGGGGGGCAGATATAATTTCAGAAAACTGCTTTAGTTTTAAAGAAAAAAAACTGGGCAGTTCGCCCAAATGAAGAAGAAGAAAACGAAAGCAGAGGAAGAAAAAAAAAACAGAGAAGAAGAGAGAGGGAGAAGAAGAAGAGAGGAGAGAAAAAAGGGAAGAAAGAAAGGAAAGGAGAAAGAGAGAAAAGATAGAAGAGCAGATAGAAAGAAAGAAGAAGAAAAGAGGAGAATGGGTTTCGGCTGAAAATGGTAGAGTGAGAGAGAAGAGTGGAGGAGAGTGCAGGAAGCTTCGGCTGAGCTAGAATAGTGAGTGGTTTTAATGAAAACTTTCCTTAAAATTTCAAATCTATGCTTGCATGTTAATTTCTAGTATGCCATTTTGTATTTTGATGAGGTTTGAGCTAAATGTGAAGCTTGCTTGGTTTATTTTTCTTTGTATGTTTTCGGACAGATTCTAGAGTGGTTGTTTTGAGTTTTAAAATGGAATGAAATTTGCTTGCTAATTGAACTTGCATGCATTTGGTTGTTTCAATAAACTGTGATGGTGGCTGGATATTTTGGGTGCATGCACTCGGTTGGATAGCATTTTGAGAGGTGTTTGAATACACTTGCTTGCTTCCAGTTGGACTGTCTTTGAGAAAATTGATTTCCATGGTATTTTGGCTGTTAAAATGTTAAATAAAGGACTGAGATTTGTGATGTTGGTAATAATTTTCTCGGTGAAAAGGGAAAATGGGGTGCTTTTCGTCAGTTTTGAAAGTATATTTTAAAAACTTGCCTTTTACCCCCTATTTTCAATGAAATCTCATAAGTTGGGATGATTTATCCTTATAGGAAATATTCATACTATTATTATTATTATTTTTGCTCTTGGGTTTAATTATAATTATAATGTGTTATATGAGTTTTGACTTTTAAAAGTGATATTTGCTTATGATTTGTATGGGACGTATGCTAAGATCATGTGATGTTGAAGTAATTTTTAATCTGGGTTAAACCATCAGTTTCTAAAACATGTTTAGAAAATTACAGTTTCACCCCTATATATGATTTTTTAATATTATGTCATATATGTATGATTTGTAAACACATAAGTAATATGCTCTTGACTTACATGTTACTTGAGATTATGCATGAGATTGTTATGGTGCTAAAACCACCCTACGAAGTACCCATCCCCCAGAGTTACAGATTATCAGATCTAGTTTATGGCTCTACCCACGCCTCTGACATATCTGAAGAATCCTAACATATTAATTACCAGTTAGTCATGATCTAAAACGGTTTTCCTTACCCATCTTTTAAGCATGTCCTATATATGACTTGTAGTTATAGATACTAATATTCATAAAATGTACTTCATCCTATAGAAAATTGAGATTTTTTATTTTTTTAATGAATGGTACAGAGTTATACATCGACTTGTAAGAAGAAACAAAGAAAACAATTATCTAGATTGAAATTAAGTTAATGATGTGTGATTATGCACGAAAACATAAGACTTTTAGGATTGCTTACGGGAGAATTAATTTTGCCTTCTTGTGATTAATACTCTAAATGATAAAATCTTGATCCATTAATTATTCCATAGAATATTATAAATCTAATTCTCTCATATTCTGAAACATTTCTCCTAAACGATCTATAAACATTAATTACAACCTCAATTATTTTTCTCAAGTGATGAGAGAATCGTGATCGTTAAATAAACCAATATTTAAAAGCTTAATTAGCCATAAATGTGCGTACCCTAAAGATGCCATTGGTGAACAACAAACCAGAAAAAGCTAGGTTATCAGTGACTGGAGCAATCAGTTCTTAACCTAAGCTTGACAAAAGAAAGAAAAGGTAAAGTAAAGAAAAAGTAAGTGAAGCTCACGAAAGTGTATTGTATTCAGCTTAAAGATAACTGTACAATGAGTAGCACTTTTATAGTGCTCTGTTAAAAAAAACATTGAAACGTAACTAAATGTAACTGCTATAACAGATTGCTAACAACTTGTAACTGAACAATCCTAACTGTAATAGATTAATAACTAAACACATTTTACTTTTTCATTAACATCCTCCCATAAACTAAACTAGGAGTTCTCATTGCTTAGTTAACTACCTTAACATCCTCCCGTAAACTGAACTGGGAGTTTTGCTCATTTATCACTTCCAGATTGTTTTTCCACACAACTACTATAACTGACAGTATACAGCTACAATACACACCGCATCATCAAAGCATTATCATTCAACTGCTCACTTATAAACTTCCAGATTGTTTTTCTGCACAACTAATACAACTGGCAGTATACACCTGCAATACACACCACATCATCAAAGCATTATCATTCAACTGCTTACTTATCAACTTCCAAATTGTTTTTCTGCATGCTTACTACAACTAGCAGTATACACCTTCTCAAAGCATTATCATTCAACACCTGCAATATACACCATATCAAAGCAATCTGCAACATTCCACATATATCATTTAACCAACCAGCAAAGCACCAACCAAAGCAGTATCATTCAACACCTGCAATATACACCATATCAAAGCAATTCTTCTACACACCACACATATCAGTCAACCAACCAGCAAAACACCAACCAGCAGAGCACTTAATATAAGTAGAATCAAAACTTCACATCACACATATCAGCATATTCCTACACTGGAGTAACAGTCACCAACCGAGTACTAATGCAACATTCAACCTCTGCAATACACCCCACACCAAATATCTCTTCTCTGTAGTGACAACCAATCCAACATAGCACTTAATACATCCAATCACAAGAAAATTAGCAGAACAATTAACCAAAAAGAAAACCAGCAGAGCATAGATCAGCACAGACCATTTGCAAAACATTAGCTCTTCAGAACAATATCACTTATCTAATCACTACAAATTAGCAGAACAATTAACCAAAAGGAAAAACTAGCAAAGCACAGTAGAGCACAACAGAGCATAGATTAGCACAGACCATTTGCAAAACACTAACTCTTCAGAACAATATCACATCTTCTCTAATCACTACAATTTTTCAACTTAGTAACTAAAGATCATCAGAATACTTTAGAGCACTATCACTTCTTCTTTAACCACTACAGTTTCCTTCTCCTCTAATAATTGCAGTTTCTTTTATAGAGTTACATGATTGAACATCAGCTTTCACAGGAAAAGCAGCTACTGTTAGTTTTTCTCTAAGAATTTCAAATCGTGAGGCTGACAGTGATTTGGTGAAGATGTCAGCTTTTTGGTGTTCAGTTGGAACATATTGGACTTTTAAGTTGTTAGCAATAACTTGTTCTCTGATGTAGTGAACATCCAGCCCAATATACTTGGTCCTAGCATGAAATACTGGATTTGAGGCAAGAGATCCAGCACTCTGATTATCACACCACACAATCGGTATGGTAAGGAGACTTAAGTGCATTTCAGAAAATAAACTTTTGAACCATGTTATTTATGTAGCTCCTTGAGCAAGAGCTCTATATTCTGCTTCTGTGGAGGATAAAGCCATTACCTTTTGCTTTCTAGCACTCTATTGAAGGAGATTAGGCCCAAGAAAAATGTAGGAACCACTGGTTGACCTGCAATCCTGAACATTTCCTGCCCAATCTACATCAATGAAGCACTCTAGACTAAATCTATGAATTCTATGAAATTGAATCCCAAAGCTAGTTGTGCCTTTAAGGTATCTTAACAATCTCTTGCAAGCTTGCCAATGTAATTGAGTAGGGACATTGAGAAATTGACTCAACTTGTTAACTGAATAGGCAATATCAGGTCTGGACAAAGTCAAATACTGCAGGGCCCCAATGGTGCTCCTATACAGGGATGGTTTATCAAATAATTCACTGTCTTCCAGAGTGAGTTTATTTCCTAACACCATAAGAGTAGAGCATGGTTTAGAGTCCATCATGCCAGTTTTTAACAACAAATCCTTGGCATATTTTTCTTGACACATATGGATATTGGAGGCTGATCTGCATACCTCAAAGCCTAGAAAATATTTAAGGGATCCCAAGGTTTTCAAGGCAAATTCATCCTTTAGCTTGTGCACTATTTCTTGAACTAATTGGGAACTACGTCCAGTTAAGAGAATATCAGCAACATAGACTAATACATAAACCACTAGATTATTGAGCTTGTAAATAAACAGACTTAGATCAGCTACTGAACTAACAAATCCCCATTTCAGAAATGCAGTTTTGAGTTTTTCAAACCAGGCTCTTGGAGCCTGTTTAAGTCCATATAGAGCCTTGACCAGTTTGCATACATGGAGTGGTTTGGCAGGATCAATAAATCCAGAAGGTTGAGTCATATACACTGTTTCACTGAGTTCCCCATTCAAAAAGGCATTGTTTACATCAACTTGTTGGATGTCCCATCCATAGGTGATAGCTAGGCTAAGTACTACTCTAATTGTAGAAGATTTGATGACAGGACTAAAGGTCTCAAGATAATCAATCCCCGGAGTTTGTTGGAAGCCTTTAGCCACTAATCGGACTTTATATCTTTGAATAGAACCATCCGAGTTGTGTTTAATTCAGAAAACCCACTTACAACCCACAACATTCATATGAGATTTTGCTGGAACAAGCTCCCAAGTGTTATTCGAGAGTAAAGCAGTAAATTCACTATCCATGGCAGCTTTCCAAGAGGGATGAGAGAGTGCTTCAGCAACACTTACTGGTTCACTCGTGTCTAGGTGAGAAGAAGTGTTGATAGAAGGGACTAACGTAGAGTTAAGAAGCTTGGCTTTGGACCTAGTAATCATTGGGTGATTATTTAAAGGTTTTGACTCAATTGGTAGGTCAACTACAAGGTTAATGCCCTCAAGTGAATCTGAATGTGAGGCTGGCTTGAATAATGGTGTATCAAAAGGAAGATCTATTGTAAGATGAACAGGTTTAGGTGATTTATCACAAGAAGAGGACTCACTAAGATGATTATTGTGATGTGTAAGGGTGACAGAGGTGGATTGATTGCTTTGACCTATAGAGCTACTAACAGTAGTAGATTTAGAAGATTGATGTGTAGTAGGACTATCTAAACTTGAAGTGGACTTGGTGGAACTCTCTGAATCTAAAGTATTTGTAGTAGACTCACTAATTAGATTAGCACAAGGATTGACATAAGAGAATTTATGAACCTGATCTGCTAAGTTAAGAGAGTGTAGTAGTGATGAGTTCTGCTGATTATTCATGGATGGACAGGAAAAGTGCTGACCAGTTACAACAGGAGATAAGGTTTTGACAAGAAAGGTGTGTATTTGTGGAGTGGACTGATTAATGATGGAGCAAGAAGAGGGAGTTGAACCATTATCAGGGAAAGAGATATTAGAGGCTGTTTGAGACTGAAAAGATGAGGAGGAAGCAAAGGGGAAGGTAGTTTCATCAAATTTAAAACTTTGAAAAATGTAAATTCTGCCATTAGAAGCCATGCATTTGTATCCTTTGTGATGCATACTATACCCAACAAAAGTGGATTGACTAGTGTGAAAATCAAATTTATGAGAATTATATGGCCTAAGGTAAGGATAGACTGCACAACCAAAGACTCTAATAGTTGTATAATCTGGAACTTTGTTAAACAGTACTTGGAAAGGAGAAAGATTAGACAAAGCAGGTGTAGGTAACCTATTTGTTAGGTAGGTGGCAGTTTGAAAGGCAAACCACCCGAACTTTAAGGGCATGTTGGCTTGAGCAAGTAAAGTCAATCCTTGTTCAACTATTTGCCTATGTTTCCTCTCTACTCTGCCATTTTGTTCATGGGTATGAGGACATGGATGTCGAAAAATAATTCCATGATCACTAAAGTAAGAAACTAAGCTCCTATATTCCCCTTCCCAATCAGTTTGGACACACTTTAGGCTAGTATTAAACTGTTTTTCAGCCAATTTGTGAAACTGTTTAAAAATAAGTTGAGTTTCAAATTTTGTTTTTGAGGGAAAAATCCAAGTAAAACGGCTATAATCATCTAAAAATTGAATATAATACTTAAAACCTTCAGGTGAGGGAATGGGAGATGGTCCCCATAAGTCTGAATATACTAGTTCTAAAGGATGTGAAGCTCTAGAAGCAGATTTAGGGAATACATTCTGATGCAGTTTTCCATATTGATAGGCAGTACAAAATTCAAAAGTATTAGTAACAGTATGATTCAACCATAGAGACTGCAGAATTTTTGCAAGGACAAAGGCATTAGGGTGACCTATGCGTTTATGCCATAGCAAACCACTACTTTTGGCAACTGAAATAGATGAAATGATATGACTTTTATTGCTAATAGTGTCATCAGTACACGAAGATACAAATGAAGTGGCAGAATTATTTAGTTCATTACTTGAAAGATTCGAAGAACAATTATTATTAGTATCATTATTACAAGCAACAGAATATAGAGAAAACAAGAACTTGGTGGTTTGTGGTGTGGAAAAAGTTGTGGAATTGAAGGCTGAGACTGTGGTAGAAGGACCAGTAGCCTGATTTGAGGTTGAAGTAGATTGTGAAGCTGGAATTTGGAGTTGATAAAGACCATCCTTAAGCCTTCCTTGAAGAAGAACAGCCTTGGATTGTTTGTCTTTAATCACACAATGGTCAGCAAAGAACTCAACTACTACACTATTATCTCTAGTGAATTTGGAAATACTTAGTAAATATTTAGTGATATGAGGCACACATAAAACATGTTTGAGATAAAGGAATCTAGAAGAACAAGGTAGTGAAGTAAAACCAGTATGAGTAATTGGAAGTAACTCACCATTTCCAATCTGGAGCTGCTCATGGCCTTTGTAGGTGGAATTTACTAACAGTTGTGCTAGGTCTAATGTTACATGGTCAGTGGCTCTAGAATCCATATACCAAGATGCATCCTGGACAGTTGAAGGAGCAGCAATATAGTTGGTTGTGGGATGGGAGTAGTATTGTGGATGAGTCTGAGATAAGAACACTTGATTGTGTCCGATAGATGTGGGTGAATGAGATCTTGTAGGTGATTGTGCTGGAGCAGTATTGGGTCTAGTTGGAAAGCAAGTTGAAGTGGTATTTTGTGAGCCTGAGTTAGGATAAGGTAATGAAGTGGAGTTATAGGAGTTATAGGAGTTGTGGTGGAGGTTATGTTAAGGTGAAGGGAAGGTATGATGAACCTTGAAAGTTTTCTGATGTTCTCAGGAAATTGGTGCTGCCAAACTAACCTCTTCCTACTGAGTTACCTCCTCCCAAAAAGTTTGTATCAAAACGATGATAACAATTGAGGGCAAGATGTCCACTTTTGCCACAAACTTGGCAAATGATTCTGCCTCTTCCAACTCCCCTGCCTCGTCCTCTACCACTAGCAAATTGAGGAGAGTAGGGATGGTTCTGTGATGTAAATTTATTAGCTCCAAAGCCAGGTTGGTGAGGTGTGAAGGTATGAGGAGTGAAATTAAGAGACTGAGATTGTGTTGGTTGAAATTGATTCTGCCCAGTATTGAACGAAGATTGCTCATTCTGGAATTTTTTTCTGCACTCATCAGTGGTGACACTAGCTAGATGTATTGATCCACCATGAAATTCAGTACCTACAACTGTGTTTAACGCTAAATTGGCTTTTTCTAACCTCAGTTCAAATTTCTGCAGAATTATTTGAGCTTCGTGGACAGAAATGGGATCTAACTTAGACTCCAACCTTGTAGTAATATTTACTACAGCAGCATCATATTCAGAGTTTAACCCATCAAGAATGTAATTTAGCAACTCCTCGTCTGTAACTACAATTCCACTAGCAGATAAGGTTTCAACAAATCCCTTCATTTTGACAAAGTACTCATGAATACTAAGGTTATCTTTCTTGGTATTTTTGCAATAAGTTTCTAATGTGTAAGGTTTTGGTTCTTGACTCAGTAAGGAACTCTTTCTCTAAAGCTATCCACATGTCAGCAGCAAATTGACATTTTGATACAACATTAAACATGGACTCTGAGATAGATCCAAGAAGCCAACTTACAAGTACCTTGTCGACTTTCTTCCAGTGATTATGAGCTGGATTGGGTTTCTTTTCAGTTGCTCCATCAGAACTCTCAGCTTGAACTTTGATGAATGGAGATGGACAAGAAACTAATCCGGTGAGATGCTCCTCTAAATCGTGCGAACCAACAGCGAACAAGATTTGCGATTTCCATAATCTGTAGTTGTTTCTGGTTAATTTTGGGGAGATTGTTGGAAGCGTGGAAGAAGACATAGGAGCTGTATTTGTGAGATTGACAGAATCGGCAGTTAATTTTTTGCCAGAGTTGTTCGGATTGGGAGTGAGCTGTGACAGATCTACCATTTTTGATGTTAGTCTAATGGCTATGATACCATTTGTTGGAGTTGGGCGTAACTCCTCATCCAAAAGGCCTTATTGAGTGGGAGGATTGTCCACTCTTATAAACCCATTGGCTTGAGTGTGCCTAATCGATATGGGATCTCTAACACTCGCCCTCACGGTCAAGCCCATATGGTCCACTTGCCTATGAATGGAGGTAGTTTGGCAGCCCACCACTGGTGAATCACTCAGCTCAAATGGGGCTGGCTCTAATACCAAATCAGTTCTTAACCTAAGCTTGACAAAAGAAAGAAAAGGTAAAGTAAAGAAAAAGTAAATGAAGCTCACGAAAGTGTATTGTATTCAGCTTAAAGATAACTGTACAGTAAGTAGCACTTTTATAGTGCTCTGTTAACAGAAACATTGAAACGTAACTAAATGTAACTGCTGTAACAGATTGCTAACAACTTGTAACTGAACAATCCTAACTGTAACAGATTAATAACTAAACACATTTTACTTTTTCCTTAACAGGAGCCATTCCAAACAAAGTGTTATCTCTTCTTGTTCGGACTAGCTCATGAGCAAATCCATGACCATTTGGGAAATATGTAAATCCTCTCACTACACATGAAGAGTGAAGCTTCATGGGTTTCAACTCAAGAAAATCCGCAACCACAGAGTTGGCACCATCGCATCCAATCAACACCTGCAAATCACATACAAATTTATTTTGGAGAGCCAGAATGTAATATTCAATAAATGAGGGCGCCAGAATAATTAAATATGAAATTATTATGAGCTTCATTAGTATCGAAGAATATGTAAATTACCTTGGCTCTAATTGTATTGCCATTATTCAAATGAAGAATGGTAAAACAAGAGTTTGTATCCAATTTCACATAGAGAATTTGGCATCCAAACCCTATAGTGCCAAGTGGGAGATCTTGAGCTGGAGCTTCAATTAGATCACTTCTTTTTACACAACGAATTTCCCCAATATTCCTGCTAATTGGAAAGCTTCAAAATATTAATATATATTTGGTTTCTTAATTAACATTAATTTCAGTGAAAATATATATTAATATTAAAAAAACAACTTACGAGAAGGAGGTTAACTCTTCTAGTCGCTTGCTACCATTCAGAAATATGTCTCGAACCCTGTGCTTTTATAATGACTATAGTTAAAAAAAAATAATATGTAATCATATGAAATTATAACTTGGGATAAGAGATGTATAACATTATATAAAATTAAACATTAATGCATGGTAGATAACAGTAATGTCTTTAGCATAGGATTAAATGTTGGATATAAATGAAATTCCTATGGTATATAAATATAGAGATTTTATGGATAACCTCATCAATATCGAACTATATATACATCATTTGTGGTACCAACAAAATTCTGGATTTCATCATCAGGAATGGTTTAGCAATACCTATCCATCAATTCTACATTAATTACCAGTATCACAATGGAATTTGGTTTAGCAGTACCTATCCATCAATTCTACATTAATTACCAGTATCACAATGGAATTTGGTACTCTAAACTTCCTGCCATGTGCCATCGGCCTCTAAAGATTTTTGGGTTAGTTTTAATGGAATCAAGGATAAAAGAGTAAAATGCATCTGAATTTTTTATCATTATAAGGGCTAATAGTTTACACCCCCTACTTGTAAATCAAACCTATTACCCAAAAAGTTTTGAAACTACCACATAAGCCCCGACAAATACGTGAAGTGACTAAATTTGACCAAACTCAATTACGAATTACCCTAATCATATTTTGAACTTGACTAATTTACCACAACATTTATTAACAACTCATTTTGAAATCAAAAAGGTAAAATAACTAATAAAAATTAAAAAAAAACAAAATAACAAACATCCTTAACCTTAAAAAAACAAATACTAAATAAAAAAGGATTAAAAAAAAACTATTAGGCTGCGTTTGTTTCACATTTGGGAATACTACTTTTAGTATTCCCAAAAAAGTTAAACAGTAAATTATCCAAAATTTCAGATTTTTGGGAATACTACTCCCAAAATTATTCAACTTTTTTTAAACCCCTTAAATTTGATAATTTAATTAAATACCCCTAAATATTTTTTTTAAATTACAAAAACACCCCAATAATCCAAATTTACCAGATTCCGGCCACCACCACCGGAAAATGGCCGGAATCTGGTAGAATGGCGCACTACCGGCTGAATCTGGCCGGCAGTGCGCCGATCTAGCCTTTTCCGGCCAGATCCACGGTGGATCTGGCCGGAAAAGGCCAGATCTAAGGCCAAAGATCTGGCCGTTGACGGCCAGATCTTTGGCCGTAACACTCGGTCACGACGGCCAACAAACGGTCGTCGTTGACCATCAACGACGACCGTTTGTTGGCCGTCGTTGAGAGTAAATACGGCCAGATCTGGCCGTTGACGGCCAGATCTGACCGTAGATCTGGCCTTTTCCGGCCAGATCCACCGTGGATCTGGCCGGAAAAGGCCATAGCGACGCATGACCGGCAAGATCCAACCGGTCATGCGCCCATACGGCGACTCCGGCCACCTCCGGTGGTGGTCGCCGGCTGGGGGTGTTTGAGGGTGGGTTAGGGGTATTTTTGTTAACTTTTAATGTTTTATTATAGGGGGTATTTTGTAAAAAAACAAACATAAAGGAGATTTTATTAATTTATAAATTTTACCTCGTAATACCCGCCCAATTCAACTTTTTTTTTAACTTTTTTCAAAAAACTTTTCCCAAAACCCCCAAATTTTCAACCAAATGCAGCCTTAAAGATTTTGAAAAATTAAGAATACGGTAAAAAAAACAACAAAAATATAAAGAGATAAAAAATAAAAAAACTAAAATCTAAAAAATATTTGCCAAGTTCAATTTTTTTTTTTTTTCTTTCAGATTTGTATTAATTTTTAAAAAATAAGTTTTTCAATTCTTAGATCATTTTATTTATTTATTTTCATATATTTCTTTTTCTTTTCATTATTCCGGATTTATTTTTTTCCATTTGTTGGGCCTTTTTATTTTTATTTTTTCCATTTTTTTTAGTTTCTTTTCTATTTTCTTATTAAAATTTGTGATATTTTTTTACATAATTTAAGAAATTTTTAAGCTTAACATGGATGTTGGGTGCTAGGAGAGATGAAGTGAAAGGGAGTTAGTTGTGATTGATGGGCATAACAGGTGAGGGTATTGAGGTCATTTACCCTTTCTATGGTTAAAACTTAAAAGTAATAAAAAGAAACCAACGGCAGGGGGTTGAGAATCATTATTAGTACCAATAGGAGGTAGAATAGTTGCCGGTACCAAAGGGGGATTGTTATATTTGGCCAAAACTCGGGCGGTTAAATCTTCTTTTAACATAATTTATTGAAGTGGTTGGTATGGGCGGCGTTTATCAGTAATAAATATTGCGAAATTAATGGATGAAAGAGAAAATTAAACATACTTCTCAAGAAGAATGGCATTTAGCCTGAGCTTCGAGGCAACTCCAAGGCCAAGCTCATCCAAAGCTCTCCATCCATTTGCCTGAATTGCAATTCCACCTCCTGTTGCTCTCAATGCTTCTGATCTCTCCATCACTACACTCTTCATTCCCTCCCTGCAACATTAAATGTCAACATAGTTCGATCAAAATCGACTAGATCTTACATGTTTTGAGTTTAAGATTTTATTTTTCACCCAAAACAAGTCTATTTATAAATTACATAATCCAAAACCTGTAAAATGAAGATGGTTATAAGATTAAGAAGATGAATACCTGTGAAGAGCAAGGGCAGTGGCAAGGCCACAGATGCCTCCACTAACGATTACAACATCAAGATCTTCAAATATTGCATGATCCATTTCTTTCTTTCTTTTCTTGTTATCTACTAGCTAGTACTAACCTTACTTCTATTTATATCTTGAGATTTGATGAGACTTTGAGTTATGAGCTACTAAGTTTCCTGGTTAGTTAATTAATTTCAGTTGAATTTTCTTGGGGATCAAGCAGCAAACGAGGTCATAGGTGAGTGATGATTTCACTGAGTATTATATCTTTTATAATTTGTAGTGCATTAATATATTATGCCATGGAGAATATATAATTCATATAAATTCAAGTAAGGTGGCACGTTATGATTGGTCTGATTATGTAATGGGTTTCTTTAATTAAATTAACCAATACTTTTATTAAGGTAAATCGAAACCTAAAGTTGTTCTCATGCATTAATTAATAAAAAAGGTGACGCATGTGCATATGTTCGCGTAGAGGTTCACACGAGGAAGACTTTACTACAATTTTTTTTTTTTTTTTCATTTTTGACTTTGTCAAAGTTTTCAGAATAATATTATTGTGTGAGAAAGTAAAAGAATACTACAACACATAAAATCCAGATCTAACATTGGATTTAGAGATGGAAAAGTAACCCGTCCGACCCGACCTGACCCAGCCCATGGTGGGTTACTCATTTTGGCGAGTCGGTCCTGACCCACCCGCCAACAAAGGCAAGTTCGGTTAGGCCGGCGAATTTTGGGGGATTGGCCCCAACCTAGCCTGCCAACCCTAACCCGCCGAGTTAGGGTACAGGTCGGGCTAGGTCAACCCCCTTTTTTATTTTTATTTTGTTTTGTTTTGTTTAAGTTTAAATGTTTAATTAACTTTTCAAATGAATAATTAACAATTTATAAATGAATAAAATGTAATTGTTTTTAGTTAACTTCTTTTCAAATATCAATAATTCAATTCAATTAATTTTTTTTTTTTTTTTTGTTAACATTTCAAATATTAATTCAATTTTAATACATTAAAATTGTAATATAAGAAAAATTAAATTTATTCATTTATCAGAAAATAAAATAAGGAATTACAATAATTATTGCCTCGTTAAAAACCTCACCAAAAAAACCCCAATGGGACAAAAATTTGATAAGGAAAAAAGAGTACAATAATTGATAATTAATTTACAAGTTACAATTTACAAAACAACTAATTTTGGGGTTGACTATGATGTCTCTCATCCATATCATCTATATTACAAAATTGAAATGATTCTATTAAAGTATTGTCGAGAACCTCGTGTTGATCTTGATGGCGCGACCGTTCCCAATCTCGAAGACATGTGAGGACTTCAATCATTTTTTGTGAAAGTTTAGTTCTCTTTTCATTTAAAATTCATCCACTTGCACTAAATGTTTGTTTGGATGAGACGGTTGAGACTGGAACAGCAAAAACATCCAAGGCAAGTCTTGATAATACCGGAAAAATACATTTTCTGGTTTTCTAATATTCCAAGACATCAAAGTTGGCTCTTTATTGTGGATCTGTTGGTAACATTTCAGGAGTTCCCAAATATTGTTGAAGCTTGTTACTCTGTGACTGCATGGTAGACAGTAGATTCGTTGTTGCCGTTGGTGCTTCTAAAGAGGAGGTTGCGCTTGTACTTCGGGTTCGGTTCCTATTCGACCTATTAAATGCACTCCAGGTGTAGAAGTCTTCATTTGTTTCTTCTGATGCAACTTTCCTATGTATTTCGTGTCTTTGCGGGTTCCCATACCTGTTTTCATATTGGAAATATACCTCTGCAAGACAATTTTTTACCTCTCCTATTTGATTAACAAATGCTAAGTTTTGTAAATTTTCAGTTAATGTCTCTAAACCATTTTCTAAACCATTTTCTAAACCTTCTTGTTTAATTCTAGGATAAAAAATGGCACCTAGACAATAAAGAAAAGGAATGGGTTTAAAATAATTTTTTAAAAAAATTTCCATTGCCTTTATTGGTTCTTTTAAAATTTCATTGTTTTTGTTTTTGTAAATAACTCTGAAATTTTTATAATTGTATGTATTACCAATGAACTAGTAAGATAATACACACCAGAAAGTTGTAAAGTGGATTGGTAAAATTTTTTAAGAAAATAATGAATATTTTAGCTATTTGCCAATCATTTTCTACCAAATAATGAGGACCTCTATTATTTGTTACAAAATAACTAATTAAATTAGCATAAAGTAAACATGAATCAAGCATTAAATAAGTACTATTCCATCTAACAGGCCTAATAATATGTCCCATGGGGCATGATATCTCAGATGGGTGAGTGTTAGGGTAGAAATGTCACAATTTTTTACCAGTTGTATCTTTTCTGAAGGGAAATCCTTGACGGACTCTAGAGTCATTTGTTTGATCATCTCTTGATCTTTGAACACCTTTGAATCTGCAATTAACATGATAAAAATGTTATAGAAAGCTAATGAAATAAATTAATAGACTAAATGAAAATAATCCTAACATATTAATTATCAATTAGTCATGATCTAAAACGGTTTTCCTTACCCCTCTTTTAAGTATGTCCTATATATGACTTGTAGTTATAGATATTGATATTCATAAAATGAACTCCATCTTATAGAAAATTGAGGATTTTTTTTTTAATGGATGGTACAGAGTTATACATCGACTTGTAAGAAGAAACAAAGAAAACAATTATCTATATTGAAATTAAGTTAATGATGGGTGATTATGCACGAAAACATAAGTTTTTTAGGATTGCTTACGTGAGAATTATTTTTGCCTCCTTGTGATTAATACTCTAAATGATAAAATCTTGATCCATTAATTATTCCATAGAATATTATAAGTCTAATTCTCTCATGTTCTGAAACATTTCTCATAAACGATCTATAAACATTAATTACAACCTTAATTATTTTTCTCAAGTGATGAGAGAATCGTGATCGTTAAATAAACCAATATTTAAAAGCTTAATTAGTCATAAATGTGCGTACCCTGAAGATGCCATTGGTGAATAAAGAACCAGAAAGCTAGGTTATCCGCGACTGGAGCCATTCCAAACAAAGTGTTATCTCTTCTTGTTCGGACTAGCTCATGAACAAATCCATGACCATTTGGGAAATAAGTAAATCCTCTCACTGCACATGAAGAGTGAAGCTTCTTGGGTTTCAACTCACGAAAATCCGCAACCACAGAGTTGGCACCATCGCATCCAATCAACACCTGCAAATCACATATAATTTTTTTATACGTCCTCAGAATGACTACATAGATATGATACAAATTTATTTTGGAGAGCCAGAATGTAATATTCAATAAATGAGGGCGCCAGAATAATTAAATATGAAATTATTATGAGCTTCATTAGTATCGAAGAATATGTAAATTACCTTGGCTCTAATTGTATTGCCATTATTCAAATGAAGAATGGTAAAACAAGAATTTGTATCCAATTTCACAGAGAGAATTTGGCATCCAAATCTTATAGTGCCAAGTGGGAGATCTTGAACTAGAGCTTCAATTAGATCACTTCTTTTTACACAACGAATTTCCCCAATATTCCTGCTAATTGAAAGGCTTCAAAATATTAATATATTTGATTACTATATATTTGGTTTCTTAATTAACATTAATTTCAGTGAATNAGCTTCCCCATGGTTTCAACACATCTTCGCCGCGGCGAAGACTATTCTTCGCCCCGGCGAAGCTTGGTACACTGAACTTCTTCTATTTTCAACCAATTTCAGGGCAAACATTCATCACAACACTCAAACAAACCATCTTACCAAAATCAACTCAAATAAGAGCGAAAGAAGAAACAAAACTACGTACCTCAAGTAGGGCGTTACCTCCAGCACCGTTTGTCAAAGTTCAAGCTGAAGGAACAGATGCTGTGATAGAGAAAAAGCCAAATCCAGAGTACAATCAGTGGAAGAAGACTGATAAAATGCTGGTAAGTTGGCTTCTAAGTTCAATCTCTAAGTCAATGTTCTCAGTTATTTCCAAGTGTCAATATTCCGCTGATATGTGGATCACTCTTGAGAAAGAATTTCTTACTGAGTCTCGAACAAAAACATTGCATGTTAAAAGTTTACTGCAAAATACAAAAAGGATAATCTCAGTATCCATGATTATTTCGTTAAAATGAAAGGTTTTGCTGAAAATTTATCAGCCAGTGGTATCACTGTTACCGATGAGGAGCTCATGAATTACATTTTAGATGGTCTTAGCTCAGAGTATGATGTTGATGTTGTTAACATTACTACACGTTTGGAGTCTAGGCTAGATCCTCTTACTGTACAAGAAGCTCAGATTATTCTGCAAAAATATGAACTTAGGCTAGAGAAGGCAAACTTAGTTATGAACTCTGTGATTAGTAATGAATTTCATGGAAGCTCAGTACACTTAGCTAATGTCTCAACTGATATGACCAATAAGAAGTCTCAGAATGAGCAAAATGTTCAGCTTCAGTTCAAAACTGGACAACTCCTTGACTTTACTCCTCACAGTTTCACTCCCCAACGAACTGTCACTGGCACAAGTCAATTTACACCACAGAACCAGTTTTACAATGCCCCATTTACTGGTGGCCGAGGGAGAGGTAGAGGAGTAGGCCGAGGAAAACCTATATGTCAAGTTTGTGGCAAGATTGGCCATCTTGCTTTAAACTGTTATCATAGGTTCGATACCAGCTTTACAAGAGGATATAATTCGTTTGGTAGAGCAAATTTTGGTCAGGGATATTTCAGATCTTCAGGACTGTTTCAAGGGTCACTACATCCTCAACAGTCTCAAAGTTTTCATCAGTTTCATCCTGGCCATAATCCTTCTCCTCAGAATGCATTCTCCACTACAGCCTTTTCTCACTCAGGACAGGCTCAAGTACACACTGGAGCTCAAGCTGGAGGCACCAATACCAACAATCAAGCCTTTCTATCTTAAACACAATCCCCATACTATCCATCTTATACTGCCAATTACACTGCTACACCCTCTACTGTCCAAGATACATCTTGGTACATGGACTCGGGGGCCACAGACCATGTAACATCAGATCTATCTCAGCTAACAATGTAATCTAATTACACTGGCAATGAGAAGCTTCAGGTTGGCAATGGTGAGTTACTTCCTATTTCACATACTGGTTTCACTTTATTACCATGCAATGCTAGATCTCTTTACCTTAAAAATGCGTTATGTGTGCCTCACATTACTAAAAACTTGTTAAGCATATCTAAATTCACTAGAGACAATAGTGTTATAGTTGAATTCTTTGCTGATCATTGTGTTGTAAAGGACAAGCAATCCAAAATTGTCCTTCTTCAAGGAAAGCTTAAGGCTGGACTATATCAACTCCAAATTCCGGATGCTTCACTGCCCTCACACCTTCTTGTTGATTCTCTCACATCTCCAGTTTCAGCCCTTAATTCATCTGCTCAAGATTTTACCATATCAAAACAGTCTCTGTCATCCTCTATTTCACAATGTAGTGAGCACAATAATATTAGCAGAGACTGTATTTTTCAGAATAATGACAAGAATAATGTTGCTTTTAATTCTCCTTCATTTGTATCCAAGTGTAATGAAGTTGTTGACAATAATAAAGTGCATATTTTTCAGTCTTTTCCTGTTGAAAAAACCAGTGGTATGTTGTGGCATAGAAGGTTAGGACACCCCAATGCACATGTTCTTGCTAAAATTTTACATTCGTTGAAGCTCAATAACTCTATTCAAAGTACTTTTGATTTTTGCATAGCATGTCAGTTTGGAAAATTAAGTCAGTCCAGCTTTCCTCATTCTAATACTAGAGCTGATAAACCATTAGAATTGGTCTATTTTGACCTATGGGGACCATCACCTGTCCCATCTCCTGAAGGCTTTAGATACTACATTCAATTCTTAGATGACTATAGTAGGTTCACTTGGATCTTTCCTTTAAAGGTTAAATTTGAAACTCAAACCATTTTTAAACAGTTCCATAAGTTAGCAGAGAGACAGTTCAATACAGTTCTGAAAATTGTTCAAACTGACTGGGTTGGTGAGTATAGAAGTCTATCCTCATATTTTCTTGACCATGGGATTCACTTTAGACATCCTTGTCCCTACACTCACCAAAAAAATGGAAGAGTAGAGAGAAAACACCAACAAATAGCGGAACAAGGTCTGACATTGTTAGCCCAAGCTTGTATGCCCTTGAAATACTGGTGGTTTGCCTTTCAAACTACCACTTTTCTCACCAATAGATTGCCCACTTATGTTCTGTCTAACTGTTCTCCCTTTGAAGTTTTATTTAAACAAAAACCCTACTATTCCATTATTAGGGTGTTTGGATGTGCAACTTATCCATTTACTAGACCATACAGTGCTCACAAGTTTGATTTTCACACAACCAAGTGCACATTTGTTGGCTACAGCTTAAATCACAAAGGATACAAATGTTTGGACTCTAATGGCAAAATTTACATTTGTCCTAGTGTTAAATTCGATGAGTCTAGTTTTCCTTTTGCTACAAGTTCTTCATCTCCTCTCAATAACACATCCACCTCTGCATCATCAGATTACAATTCTGATATGTCTGCTAATCACTCCTCTGTTTCATTTTTTCAAATCCCTCTTGTCTTCTCTGCTTCACCCATACATGCTGAATCCCATGAGCATCTTTTTACCACACCTACTGAGTCACAAGAACATTTATTTAACTGTCCTATTGCATCACATGATCAGCAAGATACAACTATACATATGTCATCTCACATTCCCTCAAGTTCCAAAACACTATCTAGTCACCCTTCTGAATCTGTTCAACTTGAAGTACAACCTTTCTCTCACACTACTTCCAATCCCCATCCTGATAGCATCCAGTTAGTTGTTGACCGACCATTTGAAAAACAACTCATTACTCATACTACTTCCCACTCTCAACCTGACCGCATGCAATTAGCTGTAGAACTGCCTTTTGACAACCATTTTTCTTCTCATATTCCCTCCAATAACTCTACCAAAAATACACAGCCTACAGCTCCCTTACCTGCTACTCCCCAACCTCTAAATACTCACCCTATGCTTACTAGATCCAAAACCACAATTCATAAAACAATGCTAGTCACCTCTCACCTTGACACAACTGAACCAGTAAGTGTTGCTGAAGCTCTCTCCCACCTAGCCTGGAAAGAAGCCATGAACAGTGAATTTACTACCTTGGTCGCTAATAATACTTGGGAACTAGTTCCAGCTAAGCCTCACATGAATGTAGTTGGGTGCAAATGGGTATTTAGAATTAACCATAATGCAGATGGTTCAATTCAAAGGTTTAAAGCCAGATTAGTGGCCAAAGGGTTCCAACAAACTCCTGGAATTGATTACCTAGAGACATTCATCATTAATAATCATCTACAACTCGAGTTGTTGCTAAGCTTGGCAGTCACCTTTGATGAGATATTCACAAGTAGATGTAAACAATGCATTCTTAAATGGTGAGTTGAGTGAAATAGTTTCATGTCTCAACCTCAAGGTTTTGTGGATGTCAAAAACCCTCTCCATGTGTGTAAACTAGTCAAAGCCTTATATGGCCTAAAACAGGCCCAAGAGCCTGGTTTTGATAACTTAGAGCTGCTTTTCTCAAGTGGGGTTTTGTCAATTCTGTGGCTGACTCTAGTCTGTTTATCTACAAACACAATGATCAGGTTGCTTATGTCGTTGTCTATGTAGATATTCTCCTAACTGGTAGTGATGCTACATTTGTGAGTGAAATTGCACAAATTGAATATTGAGTTTGCTTTGAAGACTTTGGGTTCCCTAAAATTTTTCTAGGCTTTGAAGTTCTTAGAAATGACTTAGGCATTCAATGAGTCAGGAAAAATATGCCAAAGATCTTCTAGTAAAAACTGGAATGATGGACTCCAAGTCATGTTCTACACCGATGGCTATAGGCAACAAATTAACCCTTAGGATAGTGAGCTATTTATAATCCAATAATTTATAGAAGTACCATTGGAGCCTTACAATATCTCACTTTGTCAAGACCTGATATAGCCTACTCAGTCATAAATTGAGTCAATTTCTTAAGGCTCCTACTCAACTACATTCACTACACATTATGCATTTCTACCATGGCGTTCATTGTAGCTAAAAGTATGAATTTACGTAGCTAATGGTTAGCTACAAATGCAATCTTTGTAGCTTATCGTAGCTAGAAGTGGGCTTAGCTAAGATTTAGCCATGTAACTTTTTGCTTACGTAGCTAACAATTTATATTTTTTGCTATAAATGAGATTAATATTGTAACTAAAAACTTAAAGTTTTTGCCATAACAATAATAAGCTTGTAGCAAAAACTTTGCCTTTATAGCCACGGAGAATAGTCTGTGTAGCTATGTTTGCATTTTAGCTACAAAAATATAAATTTATACCTAAATCTTGAAAATGTCTGCTACAAAAATAATATCCATAGCAAATATATTAACTTTTTGGCTACGGTGACAGCTAAAATCGTAACTAAATAAAAATATCATTTGCCACATATATAGTGAATTTATAGCTAAATTTTAATTTTTTTGCTACAAACATATGAAAGTCATATCTGTATATGAAAAATATTGCTATAGACATAGTGTGTTAATAGCTAAATATGAAATTACTTGCTATGAATATTTTCGATTTGTAGCTAATATTATAATTATTTGCTATGGACATATTGAAGTCATATCTATATGTGAAATTCAGTTGCTACTTGGACATAGTTTGTTCATAGCTAAATATTGAAATAACTTGCTATAATACTTTTAATTTGTAGCTAAAATTATAATTATTTGCTATGGAACAAATAATTTATATAAAATTTATTAATTTATTGCTTCAATTAAAATTAATTGTACAAATATTGCTATAATTAACAAATTTAATAATAATTAACAAATTTATAGGAATTCTTTTATATTAAATAGATAATATGACGTCATACGAAAATTTCTAACATAAAAAGTTATACATTAGCAAAGTCATTTCCAACCAAATAATTGTCTACTCATAAAATCCTTCTCCTAGTCATTTAAAATGTTATCAACTAATTTTCTTTTACA